GATATAAGGAGGTGTACTTAATGAAGTGCCAGGTCAGTGTACATGTTTGATAACTGACAAAATAAGAATGAAATATTTCAGGCATTAAAGCAGAAGTTATTTCATGTCTAATGAGGAGGAGATTTGACTGACTGAAGCTTTAGTAATATTTTTGAGTGACTGAATATTTTTGAGGCATGTCATGTCGACCATCTGTTTGCAAACAGCCAATTTGAATAAAATTCAAATGAAAATGTGACTTTCAATTTATATGAATGAAACTCGTTTATATAATGATTCAGCTAATGCTGACAACCACTTGCTAAACTTGAAACATGAAATGAAAACTGGGAAAATCCAACAAAGCTTTGTTGTATGTTAAAGAAAAAGTGAATTGTGCTTTGGCTCAGTGGTGCTCCAGCCATAGAAACCATGTGCAGAGAGAACAGTTGCTCTTCTTATTGTAGCTCAGTGCTCTGAGCTCTAGCAACGAGGGGATAGACCAGGGCTCTAACCTGAAATTGAGGGCACTTGTCTGCTTAAATTGGGGCCAGGAGATGGCATTTTATTTGAGAGCACACTGTAGGCGACGAGATGAAGAGCCCCTCGCCTCCGAAGTCGGCCCATGTTATACTAAGAACATGGAACTGTGGGGAAATTAGAAAGTGGCCACAAAGCCGTGCCTCTGATGGAGGCTGGCCCCCTTTTCCCACTGATCCAGGATCGGTTTCAGCTTCTCATATGATGGTCAAGCCTGGGATTTGGCTGTGGGATGCTGCTTTTAGATCAGCATCATAAAAACAAATTGTAAAAGAAACACCTAGCACTGCAGACACTCTACAAGATGTTTTTACCTTTAGGGTAAAGCAGCAGAGAGATGACTGGAGATTGTATTGGGGTTTTCTGATGAATAATTCTGTGTGTAGTGCTGTGTCAATGCAATGCCCTGTAAATTGAAAAAAACTTCCATCCCTGCAGGATAACAAGCTTTGGATGTTTTTTTTCTTTTCAAGTGCTTTCAATTCACTCCTCCTCTCAATACTGACGTCATAATGGTAAAGACTTCTTTATTAAACAATGCTCTTGTCTCTTTTGATAATAGGTTAGAAAACAGACACTTGTATGAGATGACAAAAATGCTTGTTGCTGAAATGAGGTTAAAAATTGATGCACTTTAAAGAGGAATTCCACCAATTCTTCAAAATTTCTAAATAAGGCAACTGTTGGGATGTGAACGAAGTCATTCCAAGTGGTTTGATTTAAATTGTATTGTTTTCTTTGGAACCATGGAGAACCATGGGGATATTTCACAAAGCAGGATTTCTCAGTTTCACCAGAGAGCTGAAGCCTAAGTCAAGCCTGTCCTTTAGGGAAGGGAAGGCCTGAATCATCAAGTAGTGTGGCACAAATTATTGATGGGCTCCTACCTGGCTTCCTTTTTTGGGTGGTCAGTGATTTTGTTATGATATCACATCAAGTTAAAGGCCTATGCAGCCCCTTAGTAGCAGCAGCATACTAACCACATGTCATCACTATGAGCACATTTTTTTCCCCAATCGGGACAAAAACAATAGCAAGCTTATGCACACATTAATGAGAACACAGGTTAATATAAACCCAACAACCAGTGCAACATTTCCTTATAAAGCATGCATCCATTCTTGACAAGCAAAGCATTAACCCCAGTGGTCCCCAGAAGGTCAGCTAAAATGTGCATTAAAAATGGAAAAAGCAGAAAACTTAAAAAACAAAACAGTTACACAGGCTAGCTAAAGCATACTGCCATAGCAGCCATGGAAATGTTTGGTTTTTTGTCCACTCATATCTTATCTCTGATAACGCAGATCACTGCCAACAAGGACGAATCAACTTAGATTTAGATGCTTTATGAGTAGCTTTATTTAAATTAAAATGTATTTTCAGAACTGTATATTTATGCTTAATGTAATTATGCAATAATTGTGTCAAAGTGCTAATTAAAATGTAACATATGCATTTGCACTCTGTAATAATGCATTTAAGCTGCATTATCAAAGAGAACACCATGCTAGAAAGAGGGCAAAATTCAAATGTAAATGGGAAACAGCGCCTCTCCTCTTTTCAATTACACGTTCTCGCCTAGTGCACTCATTCCTTTAAAAAAAGCATTCAGTCAGATTGCATTTTAATTTTCATGGTCTTTCCAACCTGCCTATCATCCCATCAGGGCGGGGCATTTTGCTTTTGTTGTCACTTGCATTGCTTGCTGTTAGGACACAGTGTTAATTCACTTTTCCCAGCTGTGCCATTGGTATAGTTTCCACTGCAATTCAAAAGAGTGGTGTAGACTTTCTTATAATTGCTCGCAGGGAACCCAAGTGGCTCAGGCCCCTGGGCACGTGCCCATTAAACCCATTGAATTAACCAGGCCTGGGGAAGGGCTCAAGTTATCCGTTTAACTTGCTTTATGAAATGTCCCCCATGGGTCACAATGTTTACAATGCAAATTTTATTACCATCCAAAACGACCTGGGAACCCACACAGGCTTCTGAGCTTTCTGAGCTTTTTTATGCAATGTTGATAGTAACAATAGAGCTAAATCTAAAAAATGTGTTTGTTTTTTTTTGGGGGGGGGGGTTGCAGGGGTTGCCTCACAACACCCTGGATGTACACAATGGCTAAAAGCATGTGGACACCTGACCATTACACCTATATGGACATCCCACTCCAAAACCATGGACATTAAAAAGAATTTTTCATTATTAAATTGCCACCCCTGTGGAAAGCCACCAGTCATTCCACAAAATTTTTGAAGTCTGTGGGAATTTGTACCCATTCATTCAAAAGAGCATTAGTGAGTGTTGTGGGCTCTGTGCAGGCCACTGGAGTACCTCCACACCAAACTCTTCAAACCATGTGTTTGTGTACCTCAATTTGTGCACAGTCATGTTGGAACAGGAAAGGACCATCCCCAAAATGTTGGAAGCATAAAATTGTTTAAAATGTCTTTGCATGCTGTACTGTTAACACTACCCTTCACTGGAACTAAGTGGCTCAAACCCTGAAAAACAACTCCAGACCATTATCCCTCCTCCACCAAACATTACTGTTGGCACTATGCACTCCAGTAGATAGCGTTCTCTTGGCTTCTGCCAAACCCAGATTTGTTCACCAGACTGCCGCATAGAACAGCATGATTCATCACTCCAGAGAACGTTTCCACTGCTCGAGTCCAGTGGCAACATGCTTTGCACCACTCCAACTGAGAACTGGCATTGTGCATTGTGATCTTAGGCTTGTGTCCAGCTGCTCAACCATGGAAACCCATTTCATGAAGTTCTGATGCACAGTTCTTGCGCTGATGTTGCTTCCAGAGAAGTGTTTGGAACTCTGTAGTGAGTGTACAATAGAGGCTAGGCAATTTTTTGCACTATGCGCTTCAGTACTTAATGGCGTCACTCTGTAAGTTTGCATGGTCTACCGCTTCGTGGCTGAGCTGCTGTTGCTCCGAGATGCTTACATGTCACAATAATAGCACTTACAGTTGACCGAGGCAGAATTTCACTAAGTTGAGGCAAAGGAGGCATCCTATGACAGTGCCACGTTTAACGTCACAGAGCTCTTCAGTACAACCCATTCTGCTGCCAGTGTTTGTCTATGCAGAGTGCTCAGCTATGTGCTTGATTTTATATAGCTGAACTCAATAATTAGGGTATACATACTTTTGGCCATATTGTGTACCACTCCACCATGAAGGGATTTAAAAGACGTCTTAGGCATCACATCTCTAATTATTTCATGTAATGACTTTGTAAGGTAGCTTTTAGAGGCATTGAACGCTTCAGACATTTGGTATCTATCACCACCACTGTGAACAGCACTGACTCAGTAAGTTTCTCTAAAACAGAGCATTTCACATCAAACCACTCTGAATGACTTTGTTTACATGCTAACCTTCTAATTATGCAGAAACATTGAACAACCAGTGAAGTTTTCCTTTAAGTAACTGGTCCCTGGGTTGAAAGCAAAATTAAAACACTGAGGGCAGTACCTGTCCCTCTCATAATGTGCCATTAGATGGAGCAACCCAAGTGTCACCACCAGACCCATTCTAATTTAATGAGGGGAATAATGAAACTCTACAAAACGAGACTGAGGACTCTGCCACATGCAAGGGAGGGGAATTGGGACACTTCAAGGTGATTTGGCTCCTCAAATCCAAAGCCGACTCAAAACCAGTTTTATTCTATGAATAAAACATTTGGAGCGCTCTTCCCCATGCGGAGGTCTTTAACATTTTAGACTGTGGGCTTAGTCATGGAAGAAAGCCTTCAAAAAGATATGAAAACAAATCTGACACACAATGCAAAAACAACTCCCAATCTGTCTTGGTACTGTCTCACATTGTATCTGTATTCATGACCGCAAATGTCATTATATTTAAAACACAACTTCAGGCTGCATAACTGTAATCAAATTCAGATTCTTTCAGCCTGTTTTAATTTCACCGTCGACTGGCAGAGAGTGGTTGGAGTAGTATGTTTCAATCACGACTATTATCTAAACAAATAAAGTAAATGCAGCAGTAATTGACTCAGCTTAATTTATTCAGCCTTGTAAAAATGAAGGGCCTCCTGGTGCACCGTCCACTGCGCTTGCTTCAAAAGATGGAAAATGGAAGCTATCATTAGAGATCAGCTGCTCTGCTGTCCACATTTGAGAGTGGAACAAGTCTGGTCATGTTCGCGCTAAAAGGGCACATGACAATATAAAACTGGAAAGTGCCATCAAAGGTTACAGGAAAAGGCCGAGGCCACACTCATCAGCCAACTAATGAAGAACGTCACGGACGGAAATGTCATGAATGGAAATGTCATGTAGCGGCACCACTCAGGCCGGGAAGGCACGCAGAGGGGTTGTGGCAAGATCTGCTTATTCGGCTCAACCTCACTTAGAAGGAACGAGATCCTTCCAAGATCCTGGTAGTCACGTAGCAGGAATTTGAAACGGGAAATGACCAAATAAAAGTTCAATCAAGACAGATGTTTTCAAACAGCAGAAGCAATCTGTTTATTCCATTACTATTTACATGAGCACATGAGCTTGGCAAGTAGGCGTTCAAGTTAGAGGGAGTGGATGATCGTCCGGCTCTTCAGCTGTTCAACGTACTCCTTGGCCTGGTCGAATGCAGTCTTCTGCTCCACTGTGGGAGGCACGCCCTCCACCAGCTTCACAAAATAATGGCAGTGCACTTTGTCCATGATGCCGAACATACCTCGGCCGTGGTAGCGAATGCGCTTGAGATATTTGCCTTTGGTTGAGAAGGACTCGGCTGTTGGGGAGAAGAGAATAGGAAGGTTAGTTGAAGACTTCATGAATGACACGATAAGAGGTTCAATCTATCTATGTTTTTTGATCGTTCTGTGCATGAGCACTTCCACAAGATGAACTGTTTTGAATTTGTATGGGGAGGTACAGATTTCTAACCAGCTTACTTCAGGAGGTTTAGCTGTAACACTGGTTACAACTAACCTGCTGTGTTGAGGCTTTGCCTCAACCGGTAACACGGGCCGTTCCAGCATTTTGAGAGGTCTCAAACCACAGAGTCGTGGTTTCCTCTTTTATATAAGAACAACCCAAACAAACACTGGGTTTTTTTTTTTTACATGTAATTATTTTTATAAGAACCAAACTCAGTTCTAAACTGACTCAGCTTAATGATGACCGCTTAATCGTTTTTAATATCTTAGAGTATATACTGTAATTTTACCATGGTTTGAATGCAGCTCATCAGATGTACATGATGAACTGTTACATTATTAACTTGAACAACGCTACCTATAACTTAGCGTTATCCAGGTGGGGTCTAAAGGAGCTGAAATATAAACAACCAGTGGTCTGAGATATCATCAATGCTAAAGAGAACCAGAAAGAGTGTCCCCTGTAAAGTTTGCTTGCATTGTAAAAAACCTCTGAAGTCATTTTCAGCTAGTTACCTTTCAGGTTCACTTTAACAGAACTGAGCTCGGTTCATTTATCAAGATGTATATGCGAAAATACCCCGAAATAGCGCTGAGTTATAGTGAGAACGCTCAATTCAGCAAAATCAGCACCTCCTTGTTTGTATGCTCACACTTATAAGAGCAAAGCACATAATGATCCTAGATCAGCTCTTACTTTAGGGACATTCGATAAGCAAATATGACACTGTAAGAAGTTACACAGTGGAAAGTATATTACCTCGCCTCTAAAACTGATTTTTGATTGGGTCATCATGAACCAGCAGGTGGGGAAAAATAATATTACAAATAACATCATGTTTCACCTCCCACTTCCACCACCCCCACCTAACATCAAGCTAGAATGCTCAGCTAGCTCAGAAAAACGTCATGGTGTGATTTCCAATTGACACTGATTTTAACACAAAGAGGAACAAAAGATATTATGGACTCTTACCAACATATAAATTCGATTTGTATTCAACATTGTGGTGCTTCACAGCCATTTCTTGGGCTTCTAAAAGAACCTGTAAAACACAACAACAACAACAATAATAATTATAATAATAATAATAATAATAATAATAATAATAATAGTACTGCGATAGTGGTCCTATCCAGATCTCAAAGACTGAGTAATCAGGTATGTAGAGTTCCAGTTAAAAAGTTGCATAGGTACCTCTTTTATTACTTTGGCTCCCTTCTTGTCATTGAACTCGAGCTGAGCGAGGGCTTGGTCGATGGTCATTCCTCTGATCTGTCAAAAGAAAAAAACTCATCAGCTAACGTTTTTTTAGCTTAACATACTCATCACGCACAGCTATGAGAGCGTACATAAAATATTCTCAGCAAGATAAAATAAAAGTAGATACTAGTGGAAATGACCCTTGCCATTTCTCAGGGTTTCAGTTCATGACCTCTGTTCAAGCAGGATGATTATGATATCCAGAATAGCAACAAGAAACAGCAAGTACCGCTCAAAATACAACAGATTCTACTGAGCGATTCTGCGGAGTCAGACAACAGTTTCAGAATTTCTTCGTCTGAGAGTTTAGTCATCCTATTAGTTGACGGACACCAAACATTAATCATGAGCCTTACATTTTCCATCTGTCTGAAAATAAATAATACTTCACAGTTCTATGATTGCTGCATTGTCTATTCACAACACAGTGCAGAAACTACTTTAAATAAAAAAACAAACTGGTTGATGTGAAAAGATTACAAATACCCAACACAATTTATTACAGCTGGGTTGTAATTATATTTAATCATTGAATCGGAATTGCTTTTCACAATTACATGATTTTTAAACCATACTTTTAGGCTCTTTGATATTTATTTATTGTCTGTTTTCATACTGCTAGAATTCAATCTACTGCCATTTAAAGATATTAACTGGAAATCATAACGCATTTTTCTTCCATACCATAACATGTTTCCTAAGTTAAATATGGAATCAGGGAAAGTGTTTGAGCTAACTGAGCATTTTGCTCGGTGACAGGTGGAGGTGGCGAAAGGGGGAGGTGAAAAATGATATTAATGGTTAATATTATTTTTCCCAACCCGCTGGTACACAGCGATGTAATTAAAAATCACAAGACGTGTTAGAGGCAGGCAAAGGTCACTACATTTTGATGAAGATAATAAGAAACAAGAATTTAGTCTTTTAAATCATATGCTTTGTGTTCAGGGACATTAACTAACATGGTGAAAAAAAGGTCAGTTTTTATTTTTTTCATTTTTGAGGCTTGACTTTAAGTGCCTACTTCATGCCATTAAATGGCAGTAGTTCCCAAAGGCAAGTAAATTTCATAAGGCTTTTTCCTATAGCTTCTATAGTTACTTGCCACCCATTCGCCATGTCAAAGATACAACCAGCTCCTGCAGCTTTAAGGTCAGGCTGCATTTTGGCTTTATTAAGAAACCAGAGTGTAATAGTACTTTGGAGTTTGTTTTGACTGCAATTTTGTGATGCATTGCGAGATATCAAAATGTGACAACTATATTCTTATTGTTTATGACCTATTTGCATTACCCAGCCCTTTAACTTGTATAGCAAAGGTCAGCATTCCTAGAGTCCAGCTGTTGGTGCTTACTGTGTTGAAAATGGATTCAACAAATTGGTTCAGGTGTTTTGAGCAAAGAAACCACAGGACCAAAACTCTGCTCTAGAGGCAATGGTAAAACCATATGGCCATTAGTCCAGTGTTAGACCACCTCCCAGCACATTTTAGTGTTTTCCCAGCTCCATCTAATTCAACTCTGCTTATTAATAAGCCTTGCCTGAGTTTGACACTTGAAACTGTGGTTTGCCTTGGCAGCACTGGTCAGTACACTTAGTGTCCAAGTAAAAAAATAATAAACTCTGCAGGTACTCCAGGTCCTGGATGCTGTCTCGTGGAGCATGTTCAACTCACACAGGGCTCCTAAATAACTTTCAGCTTTACCAAACCTAACAAATGCAGTCATGGCTTACCAGTTTACGATGGTGGTTGACAGTTAACTCAGGTTTAGATTAATCCTGTTGCGTGCACATGAAAGCACGACGTTTATGATTTACACACACTCAAGAGCACAAAGTTGTAAACAATTTTGCAGTTTAAGAACACTTCTTGAACGTAACATAGATTTTTTAGGACCTTTCTCAAGAACAAATTTTAGAAAAAAACTTAGTAAAATATTGGTGGTATTATGTAGTAGTATGATTGCTTTTGTTGTTGAAAAGCCTATTTTTTTTTTCCACAATGTCACAAACATCACAAAGAAAAAAGAAAGAAGGACCAGAGGGGTCCACCTCCACCAGAAAGCTGCTCCTGATTGGTCAGAAGCCGGTCCTTGATTGGTCCAAGAGCTGTTTATGACATGAACTTTACCTGCCCTTAAGCAGGTTAGGTGTGCAGTACAAGCTTAACAGTAGTTGGCTAAAAAAGAAAACCTGCTTCGTGAGACAGACCCCAAGATTGAGAACCATACCATAGACCACATCAATCAGTCAATTACTGTAATAATCAATAAGTAGCAATGTTTGTTCAGTGTCACTCACCAGCTTAGCCAGATACCACATCTTGTCTTTGCTGTACTTAATTTGGTGTCTGCAGTGAAATATCTCCTGAAAAAGACAGTGAGAATTTGATGTAAACAAAACACCACATAACATTTCACTAATAAAAATGTCAAACCAGTTTGGTATGTATGTTAGCTTGTATGAAGTAGATGGACAAAAACATCACTAACAGCTGGTCTGGGGGGCTCATCTTTCTGCTGAGGCGGATATACAATACGATTTTTCCTCTCCCAGTTCTTGGTGTTTAATACTGCAGCAGTGTGGAGACAAGACACCTGCGAGCAGGGGGCGAGAAACCTGGAGTACATGCAAGCAGAACAGGGTCGTCAACAGACAGGAAAAAAAAAAAAATCTATCTATGGATATTTAGCTTATGCATGTACAATGTCTCCAAATAACAGATACAAACTTATGTTTATAAATTTTCAATAAACTAAACTTTTATGGACAATATAAGACACATATACACCAATCAGCCATAACATTAAAACAATCTCCTTGTATCTACACTCTTTGTCCATTTTATCAGCTCCACTTACCATACAGATACATTTTGTAGTTCTACAATTACAGACTGTTTTACAGTCCATCTGCTTCTCTGCGTAATTTGTTAGCCCCCTTTCATCCTGTTCTTCAATGCTCAGGACCCCCATAGAGCCGGTATTATTTGGGTGGTGGATCATTCTTGGCACGGCAGTAACACTTAAGTGGTGGTGGTGCGTTAGTGTTGTTAGTGTCAGTGCTGCTGGTGTTTTTAAACACTGTGTCCACTGTTCACTCTATTATACACACGTATCTTGTTGCTCCACCTTGTAGTTGTAAAGTCAGAGGCAGTAATTCATCTGTTGCCACACAGTCTGTGTTGGTCATCCTCTAGTCCTTCATCAGTGGTCACAGGATGCTGCCCACAGGACGCTGTTGGCTGGATATTTTTGGTTGGTTGACTATCCTCAGTCCAGCAATAATACCGAGCTGTTTAAAAACTCCAGCAGCACTGCTGTGTCTGATCCACTCAGACCAGCGCAACACACACTAACACACCACCACCACGTCAGTGTTACTACAGTGCTAAGAATAATCCACCACCCAAATAATACCTGCTCTATGGTGGTCCTGACAATTTGAAGAACAAGATAAAAGGGGCTAACAAAGTACGCAAAGAAACAGATCGACTACAGTCTGTAGAACTACAAAGTACATTTATATGGTAAGTGGAGCTGATAAAAGCGACAATGAATGTAGAAACACGGAGGTAGTTTGAACGCTATGGCTGATCTTGCATATGATCTGCATATCTATTTACACTATCGCTGTCCTTGATGCTTCTACAGCTGCAGCACAGACTAGCTTAGCTTAGCATAGCTACAAAACTACTTACGAACCTCGAATGAATATGTCCAACCAAACGGCTGAGGAATGTAGCGCCTGTGGACAAGAGCATTTATAGTCATCACAGTGTACTACAATACACCATAAAACATACTGCAGCATAAAGAAGTAAAGATACTGTGTTAGCCTCACCGCTCGCTGTCACAGCGGAGGCCGCCATGCTGAATCCGCAACAACCGAAAACTGCCCCGAAGAGTCGCAAAGAGCCTGAAGTATATGTGCTTATAATGCCTAATTATTTTTATGCTGTAATGAAAATACAGTAAAATAACCAATAAAACATATAATGTATCCTACGTTTTATTATTATTTATCCACCACTTTATTGATGAAATATCCGGTGAGTTTTTTTGCGACACCTCTCATCGACGGACGGCTCTCTCTGTGTTGATGGAGCAGCATGGGTGAGCAGAGCTGTTAGCTGTTAGCTGACCATCCCCAACTTCACTTGAATCTGCTTTCTCAGTCCTAAAACAACACATCCGACTCAGAATGCATGAGCGGGCTCTCCCAGCTTCTCCTAACTGGTACTGCTCCCGCTGCAGCGATGTAAACAGGCGCGGGGTGCTGGGCTTCGGGGCTAAGAACACAGTCTACTTGGTGAAAGTGTCTGCAGCCTCAGCAGCAGTTCTAGGTAGGAATAGTACATCTGTGTTACAGTACTTACTTTGGAAACACGTTTGTTTCTGTATTTATGTGTTACAGCTTCCTAATCTCGTCATTTTCTCCTCTCAGGTGAGCTCAGTGGTCACACTGAAAGAGTTTCTGGCTTTGCTTTTTGCCAGCACGATGGGCAAGAAAACGTTTGTGCCACCAGTTCAGATGATAAATCGGTGAAGATCTGGGACATTGAGCAGAAAGCTGTGCTGGCAGAGCACAGTGCTCATCAGGTAAGTCGAGAGCAGCCTCAGTCTGATCATGGGTCAGAGGGAGAGGTGGGTAGAGTAGACTAAACCCATACACAAGTCAAAGTACTGTTTCTTCAGTGAAGTTAAGATATATTTTTGATAACAGTGCAAGAAGAAGTGCGGATAAACTACTTAAAGGGCCCATATCCCCTGATGTCCACTTATGCTCTTTATGTGAGCGAACACTGATCAGCTGTAACATTTAAAATAACCCACTTGTTTCTTCACTCATTGTCCATTTTATCAGCTGCACTTACCTTATGGATGCCCTTTGTAGTTCTACAATTACAGACCGTAGTCCATCTGTGTCTCACCCTAGCTTCTTTTCACCCTGTTCTTCAATGGTCAGGACCTGTGTCTGTGTATCAGACACAGCAGTGCTGCTGGAGTTTTTAAACACCTCAGTGTCACTGCTGGACTGAGAATAGTCCACCAACCAAAAATATCCAGCCAACAGCGTCCTGTGGGCACTGATGAAGGACCAGAGGATGACCAACATAAACAGTGTAGCAACTGATGAGCTACTGTCTCTGACTTTACATCTACAAGGTGGAGCAACAAGATAGGAGTGTCTAATAGAGTGGACAGTGAGTGGACACAGTGTTTAAAAACTCCAGCAGCAAGTCTGTGTCTGATCCACTCCAACCAGTGCAACACACACTAACACACCACCACCACGTCAGTGTTACTTCTGTACTGAGAATGGTCCACCACCCAAACAGTACCTGCTCTGTGAGGGTCCACTGGGGTCCTGACCACTGAAGAACAGGGTAAAAGGGGGCTAACAAAGTATGCAGAGAAACAGATGGACTACAGTCTGTAACTGTAGATCTACAAAGTGCATCTATATGGAAAGTGGAGCTGATAAAAGCGACAAGGTAGATAAAAGGATTACAAGGAAATCCAAGGCAATTAGGATTTTAATGTTATGGTTGATCTGTTAAACTGCCTGTTTTGTTACTGTGCCTTTTAAGACTGATAAATGTAGATGAGCTCTGTTCTAATTGGCTGATCTGTTTTGTACCTCGTTCAAAGAGCACACTGTGCTTAAACACTCTTTATATCTTCACGGTTATAACTTCCCCACAGAGCTGAACTGCTATAAGCTGAATATGCACGTATATGTAAATCTGTTGGTTTTTGTGACATCACAAAAACAATGAATTCAACATGGGATCTTTTTGCAGCTTAGTTATCATATATTGATTGTATTGGCTGAGGAACTTTTGTAACATTTCCAGACTACTTCAAACTCTGTCATATTTAAAAGGTGAGAATAATTTGGTTTTCCATGATATTGGCACTTTAAGAATAACTTAGAAATCCTGCAGAACTTCTTATTACGTCCAGCCGCTAAATCCATTAATCTCTTTTTAATGCTTTCTTGGTCTAAAATAAAAGGCTAAAGTTTCAAATTGAAAAGTGTGTCCAATCACAAAGCAGTACAGATGTGGTCACCAGTCTAACATAATGAAAATAAACACAACAAAGGAATTAGTAATTAAAATTTATAACTAAAATGGAACTGAATAAAAAGTAGATTCCTTTACTCTCTAATCTACTTGAGAAAGCACAGATCCTTAGCATTAAACTAGAACCTCTGTAACTGAATAATTGTGAATAAATATGTACAGCCCACCTCTGGACGGAAGGGGCATTAATATTAGAGTGACATGCACTGAAATGTATTCATGTTTTTTCAGAGCACCATCACCTCCATCCACTGGTCTCCTGTGGAGAAGGGTCTGGTGGTGTCAGGAGACGAGAAAGGCATTGTGGTGTGCTTTTGGCACGGCAGGAACGACACCCACAGCTTCTTCCCGGAACCCAGAACCATCTTCTGCTTGGCCTGCTCCCCACACAATGAGAACCATGTCGCGGTTGGGTAAGATCATATGAATATTATACCATGTACCTGACTGATGACAAGTCTGGTTTCTTTGAAGACCTGCAGGAAGTAGAACTAATTGCCTTTCTTTCTAAGGTATAAGGATGGAATGATTGCATTGATAGACATCAGCAAGAAAGGAGAGGTGATCCACCGACTGCGAGGTCATGATGAGGAGATCCACGCTCTGGCCTGGTGCCCTGAGCCCAAAGAGGAAGATCTGTATGGCCGGCCAGAGGACAACACTGGTGCGTAATTAAGTTCCAGGATGTAATACTAAATATTTGGATGGATGATTTAAAGGGATGTTCCACAGATTATTCAAAAGATTAGTATGATTCCATAGCTGAAAAATAAACAAAGTCATTCAGAGTGGTTTGGTGTGAAATGGTTCATTGTAGAGAAATGAACCAACTCAAATTTCTTTACAGTGGTGGTGATAGGAAGCAGGGGTTGCGATGACTGCAACACAAATATTCCTATTTTAATCACTGTCCAAAAGCACCAGTGAACCTACTCTAATGGTGTAACAATTCATTTGTTTTTCATACGTGGTTTATAGTTCCTCCTGGTGCAACTGAAAAAAGTAAGAAGTTGGGAACAGCAGCTTTAGTCTGATCATGGGTCAGAGGGAGAGGGGTGTAGACTAGCCTTAACCCAAACACAAATCAAAGTATTGTTTCTTCAGTGAAGCTTATAACATTCCCGAGATCTAGGACCTCAGAAAGGCTTTTGCAAGAATTGTTGCAAAGACATAAGAAATAAGAAAGCAGTTGTGGTTATACTTGAGTCATTTCCAGCACCCTAAGTGTGGAAGTGTGCCAAAATGTACTCCTTTCCCTTGCTGAATAGCAGCTGTAACTGTACAAAAATCTTACTTCAAAGTAATACCATCTTCTCCCCAGCTACGCATACACAGAGCAGCAGAGGATATCATTACTGTCAGAGACTGGAAAGATTTTATGAAAAAATCTTTTCAGCAATGTTATCCAAAATGAGCCTTTTTTCCCCCTCAGTAATTACATCTCAACCTCACCAAGTTATCTCACGACTTCCATGCTGAGAACCGCTGAATGGCTACATTGTTTTAATCAGCAGTATTTTGGGGAAAAAATAGATCATTTTTTTCCATGCCTCTCTTGTGAGTGAACATTTAGATTGATTTGGGACATCCATGCCTCTTATTTGTATTGTAAGTATGGTAAGGAAGCATTTTTAAAGTACTTTTGCTTTGGAATTGCCTTTGTTATAATACAAATAACTGAAGTAATTTCATTATATCAATACTGAATTCATTAGAATTCTTAAAGGTACTTGAATCACTGAATCAGATCACTCTTTCATGTATCAAAACATCTTAATTCAGTGATTCACTGTCAGCTCAAAGATTCAGACCTCTAAACGTTTCTTGAGTTTTTATATGCAGTGTTGGTAGTGGTAAAATAGTGGAAAACGCAGGTAAATCAGTAAAAAATAGGTTTTCTTTGGGGTCTGTTTTGCCTAACAACACTCTGCGTGTATCTCTCGGCCAGAATAGTTTTTTTTAAAAAAATACATTGTAAACCTTTAAAATTGTAAACAATGTTTCAGGCAGAGTATTCATGTAGTAACTTTCTGTGATGTAGCTTTTAGAGGCAATAAATATTTCAGACATCTGGTTTTTGTCACCACCACCGTGAACAGTTCTGACTTGGTAAGTTTCTTTAGAATGGACATTTCATATAAAACCACTTTGAATGACTTTGTATGCAGTATGTTTGTATGTAAGCAGTCAATTATACCGACGTTTTGAACAATGAAATGAAGTATAATGAAATTCCCCTTTAAACTTCTCAGTCAAAGCACCTTCATGTTCGACTAATAAAAGTCACACCTAGAGCCTAAAGCTCCTCTTACTCATCTTGGCTGTGCTTAATGTCAGCAGATGCTTCCAATGGACTGGCAGAGGTAGGAGGTGGCTACCTTGCTTCTGGGAGTCGAGATCAGACTGTTAGAATCTGGAGCACAGCCAGAGGCAAAGGTGAGAAAACCTTATTGCTGCTGTCTTTTATACTTAAAAAGAGGCTTAATGTTGTAGCTTCCTCTGTTGGCATTCAGCATGATGTGGTCCTCTGTGGCTCTTTCTCTAGGTGTTATGACTCTGAAACTGCCTTTTCTGAAGAGGCGGGGGGCAGGAGTGGACCCTGGGGTGAAAGAGAGGCTGTGGCTCACTGTACACTGGCCTAAAGGAAGACCTTCACAAATAGTGTCCAGCTGCTTTGGGTACAGGCCTTTAGACCTCAGTCATGTTTTATGCATTTGCATGTGCATTTCTTCTTGCTCTTCCTTGCTCTGTGTACTTCTCCTTGCTCTTCATTGCTCTTCTGTTAAGTTTCTCTTGCTTTGTGTGTGCAGTGGAGAGCTAGTGATGTGGGACCTCACAAAGTCAGGCAAGCAGAAGTGGACCTTGCTGGGCAGTTCTGCTGATGGTCAGAACCACAGCCGCATCGTCTTCAACATGAGCTCGGCGTGTGTTGGGGACAGAGAGCTACTGATCAGCACGTCCATGGACAGAGAGGTAAACTTATCCTTAATAGTGTCTTTCATTAGCTGCACAGTTCTCCCCTGTGTTTAGTAACACTTTTGAATTTTTCAGTTAAAAGTATTTGTAAATGAAACTGCAATTCTGTGTAATTCAGTCTTTCGAGATTGGTAAATAGTTTACCAGAAGGAAGAATTTGTAGTGATAAGTTACCAGTGTATTGATATAAGTTTCTGTCTGATCATGCATCGATGCCAGAAAATCTTAGTGAAAATAAAAGTAACCAAACTACTTTTTTACTGTGGTGCTTCAGAAAGTAGAATGAAACGTCAGGAGAGGAGCTAAGATTAGTCCTGTCAGAGTGTAATGGTTGTAATTTCAAATTCACATTATATAGCCATGTATCGCAGACATTTATTCATGGAATTCAGCAGCAAGTTTCACCAATCATAAATTTTTATGGCCAGCCAAATTGGCCTGTGGCTGATCTTTCTGGCCAGTTTTTATAAACCTTTTTTTTGTAAGCCAAAGCTCACACAGTGTGGGCTAAATGAACACATGGAACACACTAAAATAGAGATTCTCAGCCTTTTGCAATCCAAGTCATCAATGTTTGTCATATTAAAAATTATTTGTGGTAAAATGTCTTTATTGTAAGTCATTTTTAGTACCACTACAGCCCATGTTAAAAAAGAATCATAATATAAACATCATTATTTGCTTTTTAATGTGTCTAACTGGTATTTATTTATTTATTTTTTTTACATTTTAAGTCAGTTGTCTATTTAGATAACATGAAACAAAGTAAGTGCTGTATCGAAACTAGCTGTTTAGCTGTGTAGTGCAATGAGTCATTATGCTGTAACATTTTGCTATAGGTGTATTAGCATGGCTCACATTATGTTATATAAAGTTGCACCATAGATCTGCCAAAATAGAAACAATAAATTGGCTGATTTTGTGGTCGGAGCAAAAAATCTGCCGCTTCAAAATAAACTTTTTTCCTGTGTTGGTCATAAGCACTATATCATATCATCATCATCATCATCATCATCATCATATAATTTTTCTTGTAATTCATCTTCAAAATTTAGTGACATTTATTTGTCTCAATAACATCTTCTGATTTTTGATTACATTATTGTGCATCTGCAAATGGCGGGGGGTGGGGGGTTATTAAGTAATCACATAATGTTTTATGTCCTTCTCCCACCACCTCTACCCATCCCTGACCAAAACAATACACAATATTCTAATACAGTGCCAGTGCACTCACTTGCCTCGCTTTATTTACATTGTGAAATTGCAGTATAGATCTGTGAAAATAAAGCAATAAATTGGCAATCATTTTCATGGTCTAAGCAAAAATCTGCTCATTCCAAACTTGGTCTATTTATTTATTATTAATCTGAAGCTCAGATTGTGTGAGATAAATTAACATGTAAACACTTTTCCAGTACTTTTTATTAGCCAAAGTCACAACACAAATATCATTATTTGCTGTTTCACTGGCCAAACTGGTATTTTAAATTCTTACAAAAAAATCTTTTGCCTATTTCAATAACATGAATCAAACAAAGTGCCACATAGAAAGTAAGAGGTGACTGACTGTTTCGCATGACTAGTCCTGCATAATTATGCTTGACATTTTGGCATCAGTGTAAAGTTTCCACATTGAAGGAAAAATCTGTTGATTCCAATCTTGGCAGGTTCTGATTGTGCATTTGTGATAAAATAGGTTATTCTGTTATTTTCTAAATACAGAGAAACACATCAGATTTGCTGTCTGTGGTAATCAGTGGTGTAATGCAGGTGCCAAACACAGATATTCGGTTGGAGAATACTGAAGTATTGCTGTTTTGCATTATGCTGTATGATATTTACACCAGGGTGGTGTTTTTGTGTAACTGTGTCCAGATCAAGTGCTGGGATCTGGACACTCTGGAGTGCTGCTGGACTCTGCCCACTCTGGGAGGTTTTGTATACTCCTTAAGCTTCTCTCCTGTGGGCACGGGGTGCTTGGCATTGGGGGTTGGAGACAACATGATCCGCGTGTGGAACACCCTGTCCATCCACAACCCGTACGACACCAAGACCTACTGGCAGAGCATCAAATCCAAAGTAACTGCGGTAAGTCACCAGAAACTGATATTGATCAAGATGACTGTGAAAGTATGGTTAATGTGTGATAGTACAGCTTGCTTATGTTTTTTTTTCTCCTCACACCCCACTTAAAGGAAATGTATACTGTATGTTTAAAGCAAACCTGACATGAAAATTGACCTTGTTAGATCATATTAAGCAATATTCTTCAAATCATCATTTAAAAGACAAAATTTGTATTGTCCTGTAAAATGTAATGACATTTGCTTTTTACTACAATGTCTTCTGATTTTTGATTGTCATCGTGCACCAGCAGGCAGAAAGGAATGGTATTTACCATTTTATTGTGTTTCACCTCACTCTCCCACCACCCCCACGTGTCATCAAGCGAGAACACTCAGCTATCTCAGAGACCCTCTGTGATATTGTGTGTCACTCAGAAATATGTTGGAAGGAAAATGCGATTTGATTTCCAATTCAGGTTAACTTTAATGGCCAAAGAACAGATATCCCTTAATTTTCTGAAAGGAAAGAGTTTAATGTAGTATATAAATACTGTCAAATTTTCTACATGAACTGTTCACTCCTCAGTCCACACGGTCAATATAAAGATAAAGAGAAGTTGGAAAATTGTTGTGTAGAGTCTGTGGTACATAAAAACAAATAAATGTTCTAGACAAGCCTCTTGGAAGAAAAATAAATTGCTAGAAGGAAATGGGCCCTTTGAGATGAGGCCACAGTACAGTCTATTAGTGGGAACTATAACCTAGTTTTGGCCTAGTTTGACCAATTGAGGAACTTGGTTTGGTTGATCCATTGGGGGTGTTTGGGTGTTACAGCAGCAGATAAATGCTGGGTCTTATGCACATAATATATACTAGTGATGGGCAGTATATAAAGAATGAAATGTTCAGGTTTGATAAGTTGTAAAGGACAAAAAAGAACCAATAATACAGTGATTTTTATTCAGTGTTTCACATTCTGCACTAAGTAAATCTAAGTAAACAGGCCTAATTGTGCTCTCTTTGTAATGAAATATGCAGTTGGTCAGTACCAACTGTGTCAACAATATGCTCAGAAATGCATTCTGAGAGATAAATGTTGGGAGAAGCCATTATGCACTAGGCAGCCACCATTGCATCATAAATCGTTGACAATTAGACCATTTATTTTCTTGATTTTTAACAGTTGGCCTGGCATCCAGTGAAGGAAGGCTCCTTAGCGTTTGGAACAGATGATGGCAAAGTGGGCATCTATGAAGCTTATTCTAACAAGTAAGAGCACATGCAGTCATTACTACTATTTATACTCAGCTTGTAGATGTGTAGCAATACAACATGTTAAACTGTATCTCAGCATGTCAAATTGTATTTTGTATTGCATTGCAGCTACTGTGTTAGCTGGTGACAAAAGTGTTAGACCAGGGCATTATAAAGCACAGCGTTTACTGTAAATATTATACTTTCATAAAGTTTCATACTCTAACAAAATGAAATCATTGACATAGTAATGTGAGGCACATTACAGTATCGAAAAAATGCATCGAATTGAATAAGTCGTTACATTCATATTAGCTTGCTTACTTACCTTGAACTGTTTCTGACTCCATCCTAATCTAAAAAGGAGTTTGTTTTTATTTGTGCGTTTGTGTGCTCTGACATGCAGGCCTCCACAGACCTCCAGCACGTACCACCGCAGAACAGTCTACTCTCTGGACTGGGGACCCCCCATCCCACCTCTGTCATTTGGTAAGTCGCTTTTTCGACGTCTGAACAAGTTAATTCATAACACCCTCCGCAGCCCGGCAAACATTGAACTAGGAGTGACGCCAAGAGCCATCCATCAGCGAACAGCGTCGCCGGCACATGCTTAATGTGCGGTGGTAATTGAGCGAGCTGCTGGCATAAAAACCCGCTTCCCTTCCCTCACAGGCACGTTCTGTGGGAAATGGAGACACAGAAACTTCATTTGCGGCCCTTCCGCCGCCGCATGACACTTTTATCGCCATATCTGTCATCAGGTTGGGAGACGGCGGAGATAATTGCTTTTGTTTTGAGAGAGCTGCTGACGGGGAAGTGGAGGCAGGGGGTAATTTGTTTACACTCTTTCTGCTGGCTGGGCGCTTCTCCCACGCCCATCCCCTGGGATGCCACTGGTGACGGGGCGACGCAGAGGATTATTCGGCATTTTCATTTGCGCATCTGGAGCTGAGGGGTCTCACATGGGCTGTTTAGGCAGTTAAGAAAGGAATGAGTATGTGAGGCCTGAGTACGTGTAGAGTTTAAGTGTAAGTGGTGCTGATTAGAGATGAGTGGGGTCATTTTAATTCGTTTTGGTTATTTAAATGTAGTCAGAGTATTCGTTTAGCTTCATCTGAGATTCACAAGCATAATTTCGAATCCTCTAGTTCTTCATCACTGGTCACAGGACGCTGCCCTGTGCTGTTGCCTGGATATTTTTGGTTGGTGGACTATTCTCAGTCCAGCAGTGACACTGAGGTGTTTAAAAACGTCAGCTGTGTCTGATCCACTTATCACTAAATAAACAAATCATAATTGCACTAAAACCATTTCATATGACTATCAGGACTAATAATTTAAATGTTTAAATATTCAAATAGTACAGATGGTTAAAATACCATATCTAGTGTTGATCTTTATGTTGGTTTGTGTTTTCTGGCCTCAGGAGGTTCTGGAGACAAGCCCTCATACAGTCTGTACAGTTGTGGTGGAGAGGGAGTCATCTTTCAGCATGACCCCTGGAAGCTGTCAGCAGAGGCCAGCAACATCGACAAACTCATCCGTGACACGAACGACATCAAAGTAAGACACTTACAGATACACCCAACTGACCGCAACTGATGCTGAGTCCAAAAGAACATAAATGGGTTTGCTCTCTCTGGGTGGGTATCTTGGGGGATGTCTTGCTTCTGGGGGGGCTAGCCAGCACTGTAACCTCAGCATTACATTAGTGGAAGTAACAGAATTGGCAGTTAGTGTTCTCCTCCAAGCATGTTGAGCTATGCAGTGACATTGTGTCAGCTGCAGTTCGAAAAGATGCAGTGATGCTTCACGTGTCTTGGAAAAAGCACGTGCTAGCCTTCACCCTCCCAGTCTGGGAGCGTCATGTGATAACAGGAGACGTAGCTAGCAAGTAGAAATTTCCCCTGACTAAATTGGAGAGAAAAATTAAGTAATTACTCTCTATACATCACGCATCTAATTACCTTATTTGTCTTTCTAAAGAAACATGCTTTTTTTTCCAGCACAAGCTCTCCCCGCACACAGACCTCAGCTGGAAGCCAGATGGAAAAGTTTTAGCCGTTGGAAATGAAGATGGGTGAGTGTGATGCTCTGTGGAATTATCTGCAAGCTGTTTGTCTTTGACTCTCTGACTCTCAGGTTCAGATTAGTAATAAAATATGTTGATCATTTATAAATTAAAGTTTTAAATGACTATTAATAGATAAAGTTAGTATTAGTAGTAATGTAGTATGTCAACACCCATACAGGGTCCATACAGGCTCTTCAGATGAAACATATTTAAACTAGTTTGCATTATTACAAACGTACATAAAAAAAAAATATTTTGAAACATTTTGGAGAACGTTCCATTTTTCAGACAAACCTTATACAAACAGGGATGTTTTGCCAGATAACTTGGTAGTAAAGGACATTTTAATTGGGCATTCTTCACTTTAGGCTTAAGTTATCCAGCTACTTTGAAAATACTGCTTTGTGAAATTCCCCCAAAGCTTAACAGATAACAGATTACACAATACAAGTGCAAGCTTGTCTGAGCTGAATGTGCTCTCTGTGATTTGCAGCTCTATAGAGGTGTATGGGGCTCCCAGTCTGAAGCTTCTGTGCACCGTGCAGCAGCATCATAAGATCATTAACACACTCCGCTGGCACCACCAGCACTCAGACCAGCCCGAGCTGCACTGCCTGCTGGCCTCCGGCTCCAGCAGCGCTGTTGTTTACATCCATGATTTGCGCAGCGCCGTTGGTGAGCAGTCTCAGATGGTCCACAAGTTTGAGTCCTTGAGATTTAAGCTATTTCTGTACTTCACAGAACTTTCATTGAAAAGTGTTACAGTATTTGTTGAGCAAACTTGTTGTGAACAATTGCTGTTTTTCTGTCACCTTCATCTAGAGAATCCTTCAGAGAGTCCCGTCCTAGTAACCGAAGGCTTCCGCAGTCTGTCTGGCCACACCAACAAAATCACCGGCCTGGCCTGGAGCCCTCATCACGATGCCCGCCTCGTAACAGTCTGTTACGATGGTACAGCTCAGGCAAGTTACAGTCTTACAGCAGTCATTTTGTCCTTTATTCTTGCCATTTAAAGCAATAGTTTGGTGATAATGATATTTACACAGTTTGCTAATTACCACAAATGTTGATGATCAGTCAGGACACGACACAGTTTGCTTCTTTAGTTTTGGAGTAGAGCTATGAGGATAATGTTACCAACAAACTAATTCCTCACCAATTAGCATAGTGCTGAACTGCATGCCTAAGTCACACACTTGCTTCAAATCGCAGCTGTTAAGCAAATCTTTTTGACATTATTTATGTAATTTTATTGCACTGTATAACCTGCTGTTAGCTATAGAACGTTCCAGTCACATGAAGCATCCCATGTGTTTATCTGGTAAAGTGCATTTTTGGCTAGTTTCAGCAAATCCCAGTACCTGAAGGAAGGAGTGAATTATTCCTCACGTTGTTTAATTCACTACAACAAAATGGTTCACTAAAAGGTTCCATTGTTGTGGCTGAATTTTGGAGATTGATGGAGAGTGTGCTGCAGACGGTTCTATATAGCACCAAAAAGGGTTCTTTTATTGTTACAAGCTTGATATCGTCGCCATAGTTGAAGCCTTTTTGGTGCTATATAGAACCATGTGCAGCAGATTGTCACCAATCTGAAGAACCCTTTCATGATGCACAGAACCCTTTAATCATGCCAAGGGTTCTATATAGAACCATTTTCTTTACTAAAGAACCCTTGAAGAACCATTGTTTTTTTTAAAGTGTAGTGAATATACCCTAAGAAAAGATTTAGACATTTCAAAAATATCCTTCCTGTGTTTTTGTCTCAAGTGTTCTTGTGTACTGTAATACAGGTGTGGGACGTGCTGAAGGAGGAACCGGTGTGTAACTACAGGGGTCATAGCGGGCGCCTGCTGTGTGTGCAGTGGTCCCCTGTTGACCCTGACCTGGTCTGGACTGGTGGCGATGATTTTACAGTCCAGGAGTGGGCAGTGTCTAAGCAGGAGCATGCCAGACCTCCCAAGAGTGAGTATTATGGTAGCTGGTCCAGGATCAATGTCATTTATGTGGCTTGAAGTTATTTAGGCTTTTAAAGCTGCACTCTGGCCAAAATGAAAAAACGTATCACTACATCTGTTGTAAACCTGCCTACTTGCCTTTTACAGTGATGCAGTAGTTTCCAGTTTAAAGACTAGGAAAACTACCTTCTGATGTTGTGTGATGAGGGTGGGAAAAAGCCGAATATAACGTCTGTATTTATTAGCCTCTACATCAGTGACTAGACTAGCAGACAGGATTTTTTTACCGCTATGGCCTAAGCCAACATAAGCCCAGAATCAAGCCTGCCAGAGCTAGGTGACATTTGTGCAAATTTAACTTTGGGGATAAGTTATCCAGCTTTACTCAAAAAGCCCACTTTCTGAAATGCCTCCCTAGGTCCTCCAGTCCTGCAGTCCACCTGCACTGTGCACTTATTATCCCCCTGCCCCTGAGGCATATCATTAGGTCATTATGAAGTGCTTCTTGAGCTGGCGCAGGTGTGTTGATGCAGGGAAAACATAAAACTGCAGTGCCGGTGGCACTACGGCTCTGAAAAACGCACTTGAACCTAATGAGTAATAACCTGAACCACATGCTTTCTGTAGCTCTGATGAGATCTGTGAGCAGGTAACAAGTAGTTTGGCCTGTTCTTCAATACATAGATGCTGTTTATGTATTTTTGGGAGATGTCTTGCTTCATTGGCCTGCTCAGGATCATGCTACACCACTTCAATAGATTTGGAGTCTGACTTAGAGACTCTAAAACTGTGTTTTTGTTGGATCCAGTTTTAGAGCTTGAACTACTTGTCTGAACATTATGGGACACGACTGCTGACCTTTGGTTCCCATGTAAAATATAAGTGAGGCTTGGGATGGGTTCAGATTTCATGTTTGAGTTTACATAGCCCAACTTTAAAAGATTTTACCCTGTATTTCCCTCTCTTCTTTCATTACCTTAAAACAGTTTTATTCTGGCATGCTAGAGTCACCCAATTAACATTGAGAAAAAACATGGCTTAATGCAGCCAGAAGGACTTTTTTTGTTTGGTAATATGTTCAGTATGTGAGTCGTAAACAGGTGAAGTTTAACATCCTGCTATATCAGCACCACACAGTGTGAAAACAGCGCATTATGGAAAGTTTACCTGAACTGTAAACCTTTGAGATGTTGTTTAAAAGCATTGCTCAAGGAGTCCTTTGTTCTTTTAGTACTTTAGTAGAACATAACCATATTAATTTGAATTCACTGAGTACATGTTACTCAGTTGAGCATCTTAAAAGCTACTTAACACAGTTGTACTGAACCACTTCACACAACATTTTTAGGTAAATCCAACATTTCATTTTTGGGTGATACATAAAAATAAACAGTCCAGTTAATTAGATTTACTCAAATCATTTTACTGGGATTTCACTGAGTACATATAACTCAGTCAAGTATCTTAGCAGCTACTTAACACATTTCTGTGGAGTGTAGCTGAGGCTCTGTGAAGTTTGGTAGGTCAACTTTTGTCTTACTGTTACGTTGTTCACAATTTTTCGTACAGGTAAGAGACGTGTGGAGCTGGAGAAGAAAAAGGCTCCGCAGAAGAAAACCAAGAAGAAGAAGAAGGCAGCTGGAAAGGGTGGACTGAAGACAGAGGAGAATGAATCTCCTATGGGAGAGGAGGAGAAAGGAGGCAGTGGAGCGGATGAAGCGCAGTCAGAAGACGAAGGCGAGGATGAAGAGAGAGAGAGCACCACCGTCTCTACCGGTAACGTTCCTCTCATGTTCTCATGAGTTGCTTTTCCTTTTCATGCTGAGCTGTAAAATGATGTCATTTAGTATTCAGAAGTGTAACTTACAAAGGTGGTCCTGTTCCCCCTCGCATGTTCATCTTCTTATTCACATTTTTTAATTAGCTTTTTAGTTTGTTTACTTAGTCGTTTCTGTACTGCTTATTATATGTATATGCAAAGTTTATTTACTAATTTAAAGCATGACAACAGCAGTTGATTTTAAAAGTGCTCTATAAATTAAACTAACCTACTTTAAATATTTTGACATTTTATGCGCTGATATGGGAATTGTGAGCCAGAACTGATATATTTGTACACACAGTGCGGCTCAGAAGCCTGAGACCACTCATGAAAATGAAACCAAGTTGCATTTATCAATTTAATAACAATTTTATGTGACAAATTATATTGTCAGCATAACATTTTGAGTGAAATTTAGAATTTTTTTAAATATTTACATGGATTCACCAAGTTTTGACTGGGTTTTCTTTGAATACTCTCCATCTGCTCGGGGAAGGGGTCCGAAGCACAACCGATGTAACAAAATGTGCCTCTGCATGTTTTAATTACATATTTTAATCAGAAAGTTCTCCAAATCCCCAAATCTTACATAGTGTAGCTTTAATTTTGAGTAGTGACCTAGAAATAGTGCAGAATCTTAAATACTTTTTCATTTTACTTTGTCGTAACTTTTTTGTTTTGAGATTTTTCAGTGTGATCTCAGACTTTTTGGCTCTGTTGTATCAGTTGATGCTGATACATACCGATGCAGATACATAACTTTTATAAAGTGTAGAAACTGGGATTAGATCAGCCTGAATTAGCATTAGCATTACAGAGGAAGATCTGTTTGATACTGATTTTTTTAAGCAAATATTTGCCTTTACTGATATGATTCTGATATAATGGTGCATCCCTACTTCTTTTTGGATTTAGGTTTGTCTAAGGACACCAGTATGGACAGGTGTACAGCAGAGAAAATGCAAAATGGTGGGAAATCTTTTCTGGCTATGAAGAAGGAGCTAAAAGAAGAAAGGAAAAAAGAAAAACCAGGTCAGTTTTTTTTTTTTACTTTTCTTTTGCCTTCAAAGTCAAATTAACCCAACTCAACATACCTCATTTACAAGGCTCTGTATATGTATGTGCTACTGCAACAACTGTCCCTTACTTTCTACTTTTTACTTTTTAATGACAGAAGATCATAGTTCAGTTAAAAATGCTAATATTACCAGCCTCCGTTTAGCTTTACTAAAATCATGTCCTGATAACTGGTGGCTGCTTGATTCCTTGTTAATAAGCCTTGGTTGATTTAATGCCTGATATGGAAACTCTGGTTTTACTCCAGTAGGAGGAAAGTCCTTTACACTGTAGCTTCTGAACAGGGCTTTGTTGCAGAAATGTCAGCCGGCCCTCTGGCCTTGTTCTAGACTTACGTACATAGATTAACATATAGCAGATTTGAGTGCTCTTGACTGACCTTTTCCCACAGAGTAGTCATTTTCTGACTGTCTCTGTGAGAAAGTGATAATTGGAATTGGTTTGTGCTCCTTTTCTTAGAGCTGTCTCTGAAAAAGAGGAAGCCACGCTCCATGCTGCCTCTCAGCACCTCCATGGATCACCGGCCCAAAGAGGAGCTGCAGCAGGACTGCCTGACGCTGGCCGCTGTCAGACACGCACACGGTCAGCAATACATCATGGATTTCAATCCATCTTAAAGTGCCAACTTTGCAATGCTAGTCATCGTAGAACTGCTAGCTTTATTCATACCAAATAGTGGTAACTAGCAGTGGAAACCTCTGACCTCATCACTGGTTGGTTTAATTATGATGTTTGAGGAAAAGATTCAGTGCATCAAAATATCATGATTCGATTTCATTATTTTGGTATGATTCAGAATTATTATTATACACAAATGCAAATGAAGGAGCTCACTTCACAGTAGTGAAAATAGATGATAAAACAAAAAAAAAAACCCAGCAAACTAACAAAAACAACAGTAAAGTAGAAAACTACGGTTCCTCTCAACAAAAATACACAAGCTGTGTGAATGAGAGCAAGAGCAGACATGTAACCACACACCTCACTGGACATTGGTAATGAAAATCTTTCTTCATCGTGCGGAAATCACATTTTCATGTTTGGGTTCATGTAAACCCTGTGTGGAACTAAGTGCAGTGCTCTTTCAGGAGAAAAAAAAATCTGTTTTAGGGTAGTATTTAAATAAAAAAGACAAAGGGTCATGATAAATTATATATAACATTTTTAGATATGTAAATTATATGTATGTTGGTATGATTTATTTTTTTATTTAACATTTGAAAATAGTCTTCATTTTACCCAAACAATGAGCAGATACTATACTAAATATTCTAATCCATTATGTTCAATTATGACATTCCAAAATCAGTGCAATTGAATAGTCACCTTCATTTCTAATCCACTAGTGAACAAAATGCACACATCTTTTTTTTTATTTTTCTTATAGTTTAATTCAAATTAATGAGGTTTTTTTTCTCTTAATATTGTATGTAAAACGCTGCAGAGGTACTGTGCCAACATATTCATTTTTCTGCTGCTTCTTTTCTCAGGTGGGTCAGTGAACTGCGTGCCAGGCTCTGGAGAACACATCCAGCTTGGCCTTTTTACAGACAGGGAGGCCCTCTGCAGGATGTTTCAGGAAGAAGGTAAGAAGTGCACCAAAGACAGGAACATAGAAAATGAGAATATTAACATCTTTCATCTTTCTGTGTAAGTGTGGATGAATCACTGGTGGTGGTGCTGTGCCTTTTCTGTAGAGGCCAGTCATGTTGAAGCGGGTCACTATGACTCAGTGATGTATCTGCGGCTGTGGAAGGGAGATCTGATTGGGGCTCTGCACATGGCTACGGAGAAAGGAGAGCTGACGGACCACTTGCTGAGCTTAGCACCCATGGGTAAGACTTTCATAGAAAATGTAACAGTGCAGTTTTAATAGAGTATTGCAGTCATGTGCAGAAGTCTGAACAAACCTGGTCAAATGACATGTTTTGTTGTTAACACATCCTCTACAGGGGACAAACTTAAAAATGACTTTTTTTTGCAAATTTTAGTGTTATAAAATATAATAAAATGCAGTATATAAAATGTATAAAATGCCATTCCATTATGTTAAATTCTGTAAATAAACAGTAATTGTACATTTAAAAAATGTAGAATTTTCACTTTAGTCAACAAAACAACATTTGACCAGGGTGCCAAAATTTTGCATATGAATGTATGTGGAATTTTTCAACAGATGTTGGGATGCAGCCTATATGTAGTGCAGAGTGATGTAATAATTTAATTTTTATTCATGAATCATAAAGTGGGCAGTATCCTAAAGCCTGAAGAGATGGCCGCCCCATGTAGAGATGAAGAAAGCGAGTCATAATAGTGATTTTTTTCCCCCCCTGATTCTCCTACCATGGAACAGCAGGAGAGTGCTTATATCAGCTTCCATGAGCCTAAACTGTACGTGTTTTTCTGTGTTTTACCTTCTGTAAACGTCTGAATTTGAAGCCTCATATTATTGAAGCAGCCGGTTAGCCTATTAGCTCTCTGCTGACCTCGTCAACCTTCTCTAGCCCAGTTACAGAGAATATAAAGTGTAAACTGTTTAAAGAGAGCCTAGTAGCAGCAACAACTGATGTTCATTTGGCAGTTCTTCATTTGGTTGCTTTTTTATTGGCATGAATTTCGGCAGTAAGTGAGTTGATGTGATATTGGTGGAGTATTTTGGCTGTCATCCACTAAATTTTGGGCAGAACTAAAAGACTCAGCTTTCATCATACTTGTAATACTTTTGTGCCTCACCCAGCTTCATGGTCATCAGTGTTTCTCTTGGTATGAAGAGCAGGTTTTGCTTAGAACAGTAATAATGATTTATTAAGATAAAGGTTATCTTTCCTAAACTATTTTTAAAAGCACATTTTGTCCTAAAGGTGGTTTAAGCAGCTGAAAGGTCTGAGTGCCAGTGAGTGCTGACATCATAACAAGAGCATAAAATGTTGTAGGTTTGGCATTTTTCACAAGGTAGTCCTGTCACCAGTATTTATACCTGTGATATTGTTTTCCTGCTATACCCAATTAGTCTTTAATCTGATAAGTTATTTAAGCTGACAAGGAAAACACACATTCAATTATATGAAACAGTTTGAAAAGCTGGGTGTCCAGATAAATGCTCTGTGTCATTAGTGTTTCTGCTTGTTTGTCTCTCTCTCTCAGCTGGTTATCAGGTGTGGGCCAGGACTGTAGAGGCGTATGTGAAGCAGCTGTGCCTGCAGGAACAGTTCCTCAAAGCCGCCTCCCACCTTGTGTCCGTTCACAAGATCTACGAAGCTATCAGCCTCCTCAAAGCCCACCAGTTCTACAGGTATGAGACAGGAGTGTTAAAAAGCACTATGATGCCTGTGAAGGTGGCAGTTCAGCTGCATCAAAAGCTTGGTGTACTGTCTCCATTCCACTACTTCATGAATGTTTACATTTGTGCACTCAGTATTAAATAATTTCAGCCTGTAATTTTGATGTTTTCGGTACCAGAAGATTAAAATTTTAAACTTAAACATAGACGTTGAAACAAATGGGGGGAAAAAAGTAAATCGGATGTAAATGTCAGTGCATAACCTCCTATGTTTTGAGAATTTGGTTTCCTAATTAATCATAATCAAATGATTGTAAGATCAGGTATGTACACCTGTGATGAGAGATGTTGTTGATGACCCTTCACAGTGTGAAAGGGTCTGAAAGCTAACCTTAGTGTTTGTGGTTGATCGACAGGGAGGCCATTGCACTGGCCAAAGGCCGGCTTCAGCCCGACGACCCCGCGCTGAAGGACCTCTACATGAGCTGGGCTGCTGTGCTAGAGAAGGATGGACATTACACTACTGCTGCTAAATGGTACAGTAAACCTGTCAGGCTCAGTGAAGATCACATCACGTTTATACTCAACATCATGAGGTTACGATTTAATTATGAACTGTCTTGTGAAGTACTCTTCACAGCAAAACATAGTAATTCTTGCATTACAATAATCATCAGCTGAAAAGTCAATTTTTGCTTTTTTGTACTGGAGCTAAAAAGATAATGCAGCGTAAGTCATGGAAGCTTGTGTATGCTAGTTAGCATTGTATAAACTGCACACCTAAATTATCACACAATTACCTCAAACTGCAATTCTATCAGGTTCTGACACTGAATGACATGCTATTACCTTACATTTATAGATAACAGTATGTCATACAGTGTCACATAAGCAAGTATATTTGAGATTATTTATTGTCTTGATGCAGCTTGAGATAATTGTGTGATTTTATATGTGCAGGTTTTATGTGTACATACATTTTATTAGCCTTATAACTGAAGTTAAAGCAAACTTTGTACAATTTGAACATATTTTGGCAGATCAACTACATCCAGGCTACATTTTTATCAGATTTTTCACTGAACATTTGCTTTTAGTCAAAACAGATATTTTTGGAAGAATTTCAACTTTGTGTTCCACAGCTATCTCGCTGCAGACTGCAGTTTTGATGCAGCCAAGGTCATCGCCAAGAAGGGAGACGTGATGTCACTTAAGACGGCCGCTAACCTGGCGAAGCTCGCCGGGGAGAGCGACCTTTCCCACTCTCTCTCCTTAAGATGTGCCAAGGAGCTGATGCTGTCGCAAGATTGGCTAGCAGTACAGGATATCCTGAGGACACAGGATACCTTATTGGTCAGTTGCCCGAATTTTGTTTTGTTCTTTGTAGATCTAATGAGTTGGCCAAATCTGCAGCAAATGTAAATGTCAGCCTTGGTGCTGGTCAGGCGGAGCAGTCAAAATGAAATATGTTCTGCTCAAGGTCCTGATACTTCAGCCAAGGATTTATTTGCCTACAGGGTTTAACGTCCAAGATCAATATACAGCTACTTTTTGCTGTTTGTGCCCAAAAACTGTTTACTTTTTGAAAATGTTTGTGTTAATGCAGACTCAGCTGTGCAACAGTACAGAAAAAACAACAACATTCATAATTATTAGTGGTGATGCAGCAGCCTGAGACTGGAGATTCAGCTTCATCACTTTTGGACTCTTAAAATGATTAGAAACAAATATCAAAAGTGTGTAGATTAGCAAACATTAAGAGTTTATTTGAACCCTGATACGTTACATTTCATAATGGAACTCTTCTGAAGGCGCGTACTTCCACCCTTAATAATCATTGTTCTTCGTTTGTTTATAATGCAGACAGTTATGAGTCTTAAGTGTCTCTCTCCCTCTCTCTCCCTCCGTCCTCCTCTCTAGGGTCACAGGCTTGTGTTCTGTGTGAGTGAGCTGCTCACTCAGAGATTGTCAGTCCCTGGTGTGGTGAGCTGGAGCTCAGCCTCGTCTCATGCCTGGTCTAAACCCACTGAGGAGGACTTTCTGCCTGCCGTCCAAAGAGTGTGGCAGAGTGAGTTTGGCCTGGCCACAGCTGACCTAGACCAGATCAAAGCACTCCATCAGCAGCTGAGAGCCATAGAGAACCCCCCAGCTACTGCAAGCATGCCCATCAAGCAGGTATGTCCAGAGGTTATTACCACTATTCACTCTTAATGTTACTAATGTGAAGTTCCTATGTAAAATCATCAGTATCAGTCCAGAAATCTTAACATTCCCCCTCCTAGAATGTGTTTAAAACATAAATAAGCAAGCAGTGATTTGGAAGGCAGTTCTCTGGAATACATTTATATCCTTTCATTGCCAGCAGTGAGCTCAGACGCAATGTAATTATCTCAAAGGGAGATTTTGCCAAAAAAAAATCGTGTGAAAAGTAGTCAGTGAGCCAGGGCGTTTTGTATTCCATTGGAGCAAAAGTTGTCAAAGGGTGAAAACACCAATATACGCCAACAAAATCTGTTTTCAACAACCAACACAACATAGACATCAAATTTAACAAAATGATTTTTTTATACAAAATATTACATTGGTTTACAGTGATGTGCTCTTGTTCTAACATGTAGAGAAGAACCTTTGTAGTCTTTGTTGTAAGAGTGTACTAGTACCACATATTGTATTGTATCATTCAACATAAGCATCTCAATTCAATACACACAGGCACAAATACAGTGCTTATTTTATTCCTGATTGTATTGCATGAAGTATAATAAAATAAATAACAAGTAAGCCCACAATGTGGACACACTCGCTCGTCTGAAACTTTCTCTTCGAGAGCAGGGAGGAAGAGAACTCTCCTCATAGACATAAATTAGCTCAAGGCTAACATATCAGCTCAAGGCTAACATATCAGCTCATGGCTAGAGAATTGTTGTAAAATATTGAGCTTTCATAACGTTAAATGCTCTAATAAACAGAAAATGGAAACATTAACATACAACTGAAAATCTGCCTTAATTTTGCTGTACCTAACTGAGACACCACTATATCATATCAAACCGAATTCTGGATTTTGTGAATTGTTACACCTTCTTTGTTGATAGTAGTCATTTAAATTGCCGAATTTTTAATTATTTATAAACTCTTAGTTTAACAGACCTGATTGAGCTAATGTAGCTTTTAGAAGCCTCTGATTAAGGCTGCAGTAAAACTCATGAATAATCAAATTAATAGTCATTTGGCTGAGCTTTTAGTCAGTCTTGTTTTATGTGTATACCCATATTACTGTCTGATATCATATACATTATTGTTGTACATATTAAATACCAATCAACAAAATGTGAATTTATATTACAGTGTGTACTAATGAGGCATTGCTAATATCCCCTGTGATGTGCTTCCATTCTTCAGCTGCTCTCTCATGTGGCTTTGGACATGGCTCTGTCTGTGGTCAGTCAGCTGCTGAGTGATTGGGGGTCAGCAGTAGAGGAGCTTCTGCGAGCTGTAACTAGAGGATTTGAGGTGGGCCATTTCTCTCTAATGGCTGAAATGTGCCAGCTTCTTCTTCCCCAAGGTGAGACCATCAGATGTGCTCTCTCTCTCTCTCTCTCTCACTAGTAGCTCCACGGTAAACAATGCTTAAAAAGTCATTTCTTATGGATCAATCATTTTAGGATGTTGGACGAAACCCAGAAGTAATGCTGATTTAAATAATAGTAAACTCATTTCTGCAGATTCAACTTTCTTTGTTTTGTGTTTTGTCCAACATAATATAAACTATATAAAAAGTTTTTTTAATAAAATCATAATTCCAAATGTGGTACAGTAGATCAGAGCTGATCCAGGCATTTTTCATTAAATATATCATCTATTTTAAGTCACATCCTCTTCTTTTATATATATATATATATATATATATATATATATATATATATATATATATATATATATATATATATATATAATTTTTTTTTTGCTTTATTTACTCTCGTACACTATAAACTGAAATTATCCACAGCCTGCGGCAGTGAGGCGCATTTTCAGAAGATAAAAAAGAAATGTCAGTGTCTGCGGTGTGGAACTTACAGTGGAATATGAAAACTTGTAATATCTCCCAGTGTTTGATCTAAGCTGCTTTTCGTCATGGTCCTGCCATTTACTGCAAGTGAGATGCCTTTACCATCCACACCGCTCCTGTTTTCAGATCGAGCTACGGCGCACATTTTAGAGCAATATGAAATGATAGTGTTCACAACACTAGTTTCACTTATTTCACTTAAGTAGGCCACAAACAAAAGGTATCAGTTCAGAGTGTACAGTGAAATGCAAAAGTTTGAACACCCCTGGCAAAATGACGTTTTGTTGATTTTTATTTATTTATTTTTTGTTCTTCTTTCTTTCTTTTTTTTTTTCTAAGTGACAACAAGTTAACATATCCTCTACAGAGAACACACTTAAATATGACATTTTTCGTCTAATTTTAGTGCACAATTTTTATTTATTTGCTGATTGTAACATTTTGGGAAAAGTAAAAAAATAAACGTTTTGCACAGCCCACATTTTATGTTTTTTTGTTTTTGTTTTTTTTTTCTCCATTCCATTAAATTCAGCAGTCACACTTTATTTTGATGGTCCCCTATAGATGATCTACAGATACTTAAATCATTAACAAACCTTCTGATGATACTCAGTTGAGTATCAAAAACATTATGGTTAGGGTTATGTTTAGGAGTAGGTTTAGGGTTGAAGGGAAGGTTAGGGTTAAGTTTAGGTTTAGGGTTAGATTTAATGTAATCTTTCAGACTCAACTTTAGTTGCATTTCATTGCTATTTAGCTGAATGTTAGTTAGAGACAGACAGAGTAACTACAAAGCATCTACAGGGGACCATCCAAATATACCAATTCAGCAAATAAACTGTAATTGTGTATTAAAATGTATGTTTTCTGAAGAGGATGTGTAACTTATTTTCACTTAGAAAATCAACAAAACGTGTCATTTGATCGGGGTGCCCAAACGTTTGCATACAGCTGTACATCACTATGCACAAAGCAAAACTGAGTGATAAACACATTATAGAATAGTAATAAAAACATGGGCCAAAAAATATATTGGTGTCTCGTTATTCTCACTCTAAAAATTAAGTAATTTTACTGCACCATGTCTTAACTAAGATCTGCAGCTGTGTTATCTGAAAATGCAAATGCTGGATCTGAATCAGTCGACGCTCATAAAAAGTACTTGAATCAGATCAGGATCTGAAAATCCCTGCAGTGAAAGTGGTGAATAGAGATACTGCTATTTCCTTTTTATCTACACAGCATTTATGATGTAGTAAAATCTACCACATTAAATGTTATATAGCTATTTACTTTTACACAAACATGCCTCCATCTCTTAGAATTAAGACATGAAGACATTCATCAATTTCATTTTCCCTGCAGGTCTGGATTCAGTAGCACTCTGTAAACAAAGACTTCTGCAAGGTGATGAGAGAAGCTTGTTCGTGTCCCAAAGCCTGGAGGCTTTTGTCTGTTACCAACTGCTGTACAAAGACTGGTGGAAGCATGGCTGCACTAGCGCCACCACAGCAGCCAACAGCATCAAACACATCAACGCCCACCAAACACCAGTGGAAAATGGAGACACCAACCATGAGAGAGAAACTCGGTCCCAGTCCGAGGCTCAGGCTGCTGAAGCCATCGTGAGGTCTGAGGGCTTCTGGAAAGTTCTCCTCTCTGAGCCCCATGCCAACCTTCAAGCTACCCAGAGAGTCATCAAAGACATCCAGAGCAGAGTGGCCAGTCTGGTCCAACAACACAGCCGTCCTCAAGAGCCTCAGCCAAGCCTGGGCACGCAGCCACAGACACACTCTACTGATCTCGACGAGGAGCCAAACAGCTCCGAGGGACCTGGAGACCTGCACAACAAGCAGAGGTATTGAACATTATTGAGCATTTGATTGTTCACTTCCCTTTTTCCTGCTTAAAAAAGTGACTCCTGCTACAAGGGCTGCAAATGAACTTTTTGCTCATCTGCCAAGGTGTGTAGTTGATGATAGGATGTACGCTACATATTAGGCCTGTCACAGTTGATATATAGTCACCTAATCGCAATGGTTTAAGCTGACTACAGTCATTTTAAACAGTCCTTAGATTTCACTGTCATGTTGGGCTGCAGCAAACACAATGTGAATCGGGTGTGTTGGGTTATTATGGTAAATAAATCATAAAAGGTTTTGAGACATATCATGGGGCTTATGAAAACAAAAAAGTTCTAACTTGGTGCTCTAACATGTTTTGAGAGCAGCACTGAGTAATTTTTGTTTATTCATTATTGTATTGTATGTTTTAGCATATATGCTGGTTTTTTTGCTTATATTTTCACTCTTGTGAAGAACATGTAGCATTACTTATCTCTATACAGAATTCTGTGGAACTGTAGGCATTTGTCAGTGCAGCAGTAGTGATGTACAGTCAGTGGTTGCTATTAAGTAAACATTGCTAGTAAGTAAGGTGGCTAATCAGCCACTTTGGCCACTCCAGGTTTGTATTTTAATAGTTGCAAACAATAAATGAGAAATTCATAAATGATTAAACACAATTACTTGACAATTAGTGGTCAACTAAGATTTCATGGTCATGACATTTTCAGTATGTTCAAAAGTGTCCAGGCACACCTTTCAGTTTGTGAATTCAGCTGCTTTAAGGGGCACTCATTGCTGACACAGGTTTAGTGGTGCGCACAGAACTTGTTCAAGTATCTTTATAGAAAAGCATTGCTAATAGAATAGCAATGAACCTTTTTTGTTAAAGGAATATTTTAGTCTGCAAGCCTAGAAATCAATCAGTCAATCAGCTTGCCACAAAAGTATCAAAGCAGTTGTAGTCTGAAAATGTACTTCCACCTTCAAGCTACATCATCAGAAGGGTGTTTTCCAGGCCTTTAAACCAGTAAGTCTAATTCTAGAGATTACTGTAGCACCGCTGTAAAAGGCAAGTAAGTATATTTACAGCAGATGTAGCAATGGTTACATGTTTTATTTTGGCCGGAGTGCCCCTTAGTTTGGTGTCCAAGGTGAGTTTCTTTAGTTTTGCACTGGAGCTACAAGGCTAAAGTAGATTTTGAGTGACAGAGACCTCCAGTATTTCTTAGCTACATTAGTCATATAGCTGCAGTGCAAAACTAAGGAAGCAAACTTTTTTTGGGCCTGATATTTGGGACAGATGGAAAATTGTGCACATTTGATTTTTTGGTGAACCAATTCTTTTAATCGTTGGGTCAGTGTAGTAGTTAATCTAAAATAATGAAAAAGCTCACATCTGAATGACCTCTAACCCACAAAGGCTTTTTTAAAACTTTTTTTGCTTTTGTCTGGTAGTCCTCTGAAATGCACTCAGCACATGGAAAATTGAACGCATTTGGCATTCGGGGGGTTCATTATGGTTCAGCACTGACTGATAAACTCTGAGAAAGTGAAGAACGCCTCTTAACTAGACTCTGTTTCTGTCAGATCCTCTGTTGCAGACAGTGAGTCTTTTCCTGCGCTGGTTGCGCAGGTCACAGAGCATCAGAAAAAGCTTGCCGCTCTCCCCGACCATCTGAAGGTGAGTAATGATTTGATTCTACAAATGCTCATACATTCAGCTTTTGCAGGACAACTACACACCAGCCACTGAACTATGAGGAGCGTGTTCGTCTCTTAATGAAGGCTTTCTGTCTCGTTTCAGAAATACTCGTTCCCTGATGTCGCAGAGTGCTGCATTGTCCTCTTGTACATGGATAAGCACTTTGGTTTGATTCCACACCATCTCTGTGAGAAGGCTACCAGTCTGTTGCTCAAATATGGAACAACAGGCTCGCTCCACAAAGCTTGGCAAAGATTCACTTTATAACTGTTTTTTGTTTTGCCATCCTAACAGCACTTAAACATTTTCGGATCGATAATATATTTGTATTTTTGTTTAATATGTACAGTGAACCCGACCAGTGGTCAGCTGTATTGTCTGTACATGAATAAACATTTTTTTCACAAACGGAAATGATTTTGAGTATCAGTTAGTATTAAAGACGACGCTGTTGTACCTCTAAAATAATAATCAAGCACACAGTAGTGAAGCTTGTTTGCCTTCTAGCTCAAAATCTTCCAGTGCTGATTAACAAGGCCTTATTTCTCTGGAACTCGACTTAACTGGACACTGCCAGTCCTTTGCATCACATCCACTATGTGAATGCCATCTCCAGCAAAATGTTCCAGTAGTTACTGATTTATCATGATTATGAAGTGCTAAGTGAAACAATCTTCATCATGCCACAAATAAACTTTGTGCAGCATTTTGTCTTTTAATCGTATTAACTGATGTGGGTATCTTAGCCTCATTTCAGTGCCATCAATGAATGAGGTTGAGCACACATGATGAAATGAAAGTTGCTGTGATGGAAACAAAATTAGTAATTATATTCATCATCTGCTGAACTGACTGTAATTTGTAGCAGCAGAATAATAATCCAATGATTGTTGGATTGTTCGAAGGTAGCTTTAAATTGACCCACTGCACGTAAAGATGAAATGTCACAACACATCCTGCCAAAATCTATACAGCTGGTGGTGTTCAAATGAGCAGAGATTTGAACGCAAATGGTGAAGGTGCGAAACCAATCGCCCGCCCACCCACACCTCATTTACATATATTTACATATTATTTCCATGAAGCACGCCCTAATTTATGCAGATGTTTCAGCAGGGAGCCAATAAACAACAGCATTCAGCGGCTCGTGAGCCAATGGCTGAGCTCGTAGGTCGAGTCTTAGGTCGAGCAGTGAGTGCACAGCTCCCCCTACTGACCAAACTTTAATGGCGTTAAATCACGTTTATTGTCACATCACATTTACACAGGTGCGAGGTGAGTGAAAATCTTGCGTGCGTGGCCCCCTTAAAATACAGAAAATTATGTATATATAAGAAGAAAAAAAGGAAATATATAAATATATAAAGGAATATAAAAATGACCACCACTGGAAAAAAAAAAGTGAAATAAACAAAACGGCTTTGTGATTTTAGGACCGTATAATGAGGTGATGGTGCACTTATTTCCTTTATTACTGCAGTGTGTGAGATTCCAACCAAGCAGCAGCTCCCCTCATGTGGTGTATTGTTTTAGTGTGTGGATTTGGACGCAGGTCAACTGATTAAACCCTAGCTGTGTTTTGTATTTGTTGTTTTTCGGCCGGTGTCAGTAGTTTAAGCAGTGTAATGTGTCTTTAAATGAGACACAGAGTAGTTGCAGTATTTGTTTTTAGCGTTGTGCATGTGAAAATAAACAATCTAGACATGAGGCTAATGAGAGAGACTGCACAGGATCAAACTGATGAAGAACAAAACTGAAATCTGCGCTCAGATTTGAACTTAGGCAAGTTCAGGACGCTCGTGTCCGGACCACACGGACGCCTGGTGGTAGACTAGTGTAATAAATAGATTATGAGACGCATAAACCTCCACTTATTGTCAATGATTTTCAGTAGTTACAGAGGCGGTTTAAGGGGAGGCTGAACGCTTCCTATTCCGCCCGTTCTATCAGAAATGATCTGCAAACCGCCAGAGGGAGTCCTCAGCGAATGGGGGTGAACGGCGCTAAACGGCTAAACACGACAAGTTTACATGTTTTCTAGCCGCTTGTCCAGGACCTTCCTTTAATTTAAGAAGTAGAACGATCTATTTCACTAAAACGCAAAGAAAACTTACCTGTGTTTTTCCTTTTTTCTACAGCAAACGGGTTTCAGGCAGTAGGACGTTAGCATTACCGCTACTGAGCGCTGACTGGTAATAATGGGTAATATGCGCTTCTACACAGAGCGCAATATAGGAAGCCAGTAACATACAACCATTAGCTGCTCGCCCGGTTTGAATCTTTGACATCTGATTTGGGCTGGCAGTGTTTTATAGCAAGGCCTTTAACTTCTAATCCGCCATTTCTGGACATCACTATTAAAATTGAACAAGGAAAAGTGTAAATACTAGTACAATGAAATGTGAAAAACAAATTCTAACAAGTTTTATTTATGTTAATGGTATTATCTAATTTACATAGTTGTGCAGTTTTTCTAGTTCATTCTAGTGGGATAGATTTGTACTAGTATGAATTCAGTTTTCATACTAGTAAAATGCAACAATTCAACTGTTAAAAAAGAAGTAAAAGTAAAAAAGAAAGGTTGAAATGATTAAATAACTATTACAATTAATTTTTTGCTAGTAAAAATGTAGTCATGGTCAAATTAATTCTTACATGTAAGAACAGAGGAGTGTAAAACTAAAATTTTACAGGGTCCAGTTTAGCTTTTCTAAACCTCCTAGATGCCTAAAGGAAGCAGTAAATTTAAATTAAACTACTAGCGTGTTTTTAAAAGTTTATAACTGGCCATGGAGGATCTGAGCAATATAACGTAGTATTTATACCTGCTCTTTGTGTACAGCTGCACATATGTACAATAATAAAAGCCTGTTTTCTAGTGTGTACTGGCGGTTCTTGCGCAGAGACTTAGAACATGTTCTCCTCAGTTTGATTAATGAGGCCTCAGATCACCAGCAAGCTTCTGAAAACAGCCAAGTTTAGCCCATGCAGAGCAAAAGATGGTCAAAGATTTATTGAGGAACCTGATATAAACGCCGAAGAATCTAACGTATCCTTTGCCACAGTGCTGGACATCAGCCCTCCAGCACAAGAGCTGATGACCCCTGGTCTACATACATATAAATGCAAGTCTTTTTACATAGGGGTCACTAAAGGGCAGATGAGGCTGCAGTCTTTAATTCCAGTCAAGCAGCAGCTCTGATTTCCCTTGTTTAATCAGTTGACCTGCATCCAAATCCACACACTAAAGCATTAAACCACATGAGGGGAGCTCCTGCTTGGTTGGAATGAAAAAACACAGCCACACAAGCACTCTGTGCACAAGATCGGTGACCACCTGCTTGTAGATTTCATCTAGGAGTGATTCCCAATCTTGGTCCTGGCCTAGAGGACCCCTGCCTACACATTCTGGTTTCTTCTTTGCTTCTGTGCATAAAAGACACTGAAATAGCTAGAAAATGAGTACTTTGTTCCCTGAAAGGAATCAAGCTGTGGGAACCAGGACCCCCCTTCACTTCTGAAAATGAATTTCTGATAATTTGTCTGAAAAAAAATATATAGTTTCATACTAGCTTACTGTTAAACTACTAATAGCATTTACTTGGTCTGATATCAAGAAATAGAGGAAAGTACAAACATTTATAAATATTTAGAAAATGACATTTTCTAAACGTTTAGAAAATATATAAATGTTTATAATGCAGACGTTTCCTGTAAAAAAAAATCATTATTTTGGTTTGGTAGTGTTTTAGCAGTCTTCTGTTCCCTGCATTTTCATTTCAAACCACAAAACGAAGAAAGTTCTTAAAATAGATTTTAATCAGAAATTCAGTTTCTGAAGTAAAGAGTTTCAACACCTTGTTCTAACTTGGCTTAGTGCTGCCTCATTTCATCAGCATGAAAATTATTTTCAAATAAACGTGATAAAAAAAAATCACTGTTGATACAAAACATTTTAATATACACAACTGTTTCAAACAACGGATGGAATAAAAACAATATGTACCACAAACATCTGGTTTTCATGGTGGACAAATTAAAAGAACTGTACACAGAACCAGTGTATCCCTGCAACTTGTTCAGTCTCAAAATGTGTTGCAAAAACTGATCTAAAACCTCATAGGAAAAATGCTAAAAGATATTGGCTTCTTTGAAAGTTTACATTTTAATACACACACTTTCCAGCATAATTTAAAATATTACAATCCCTACAAGCATGTGTTTCCAACATTCAACATTTTCCCCTTACCTTTATGACAATGGATATCGTCAAGCTTTTTTCTTAGAAAATATGGAACAAAAATTCCAAAACAGGATTCTGCCAAACTGCTGGTGAGCATATTAAAATGCTTTGAATCTTGTTAGCAGTTAGATACAAGTGCTGGTCCCGTGCTTAAAAAATATTTTCTGTTGTTTTAATGCTGTAAAACAAAAGATAAAATGTTCTGGAGCAAAGACTGCTTGGGAATCACCACTACGGCGGATGTTTGGAATACTGGAATTTTTGAAACAGGATTGGCTTGTAAGAGCAAAACTGGATTTCAAAGAACTGACAGTTTTCTCCAACGTCCCTTTAGAACAGAGCCGCTGGAATGCGAGGAACAAAAGAACGATGTCTGCTGGATGGGATAAAAACAAGTGTGTTGTCCACTTGGTTGTCACTTCGGTGGTCAGTGCTTGTTGTTGGTTTCCTCCTGTGAGGAGCTGGAGATGCCATTCTGAGTCTGGGAGGAGCCGGACCCCAGGCCATAGAGCCGCCCGCAATACTTGGCGTCATCTATGTTATCTTCAAAGAACAGCTGCAAAGAAAGCAGAATACCATATTAGATGTAACTTTCAGGACTTAACTAGCTCTGCATGCTTCAATCAGTAACTTTAACAGGCTTCAACTCAAACCTCTCCCTGTACGTTCAACTCAACTGGAGCCTATGGATGGTTTCATGATTGTCTATATACTGGCCTGCACTACCACTAAATAGTTTCAAATCCATTAGCACAAACATTTGTCTCGAAAAGCCAAAATAAACAGCATTTCAGAAAAACAAAATACAGCAAAAACATGGCTAATAGTTCTGTGGTGCAGTGAGTGCTCAATGTACCCATAAGGACAAGAAATACCCATTGCGCTGTATGCAACTGAAAGTGCCAGAGAGTTTTGAGCAATCCTATGTAATGCTTGCATAACACCGTTGTCAGAACAAAAAACCTTGTATCTCCAAAATGGTAACTTTAAAAGAAAAGGAAAAAACCTACTTTACTTTTAATGTAAGTCAATGGAACCAGACTTTTTTCCAAGTAGCTCTGGGTCATTTCTTTTGGTCCACTAATCATGAAAATAACACACAATGTAAAGGACAATAGGCATTTTCAAACTATGTCAAAAACTGAAAAACAAAAACAGAGATGCAAGGTTTTCTTCTGACAGCAGC